CGCAACTCCTCCAGGCATTGACCTAAATTGTTGCACGTGCCTAAAATATCAGCCAAGTTGCTGGCATCCCACCTCCTCCCCGGAAATTTTCCAGGCCTCTGCTAGTGAGGACGGAGGCTGGGAATCGTATTTGGCAAAACCTAGCGACGTCTCAACTGTGCAGCTGCGATCCGATCAGCATGGGTGCAGCGCGCCCCGCCCCCAACGTCCCCCCTTGTGTCCACCCGCGGGCGTGTCATGCGCGAGGAACGCGGCAGAGAGCGCGCGTCCAGCATTATGGCGCCGGCCCCCGTGCCAGGCGCTGGCCAGAAACGGCGCGAGCACCGCGGAGCGAGGTTTCTCTGAGGTGAGATGCGGGGTGAGCGATTCGGATACGTCGGAGCGACGAATCGCTCGGTGGGCCCTCGCTTCCGCCAATCACGTGTTAGGGCCGCACGTTTCGTCCAACCAGGATGCCGAGCTTTTTTGACTTGACAGGTGGTAGGCCCGTGCGATGTTAGCCGGCCACCATTGGAGAAAATGAATCTAACCCAGTTTGTTCATCGCTTCCAGGTCCGCGGCAGCTCGGTGGTCGTGGTCATTGATCTCTGCATTAATCGCTCCCCGTAAAAAACAGGTAAGTTAGTGATGTGTGTGCACTTACATCTGTACGCTTTTCCGACGCGTGTTCTGATTTGGCTCGGCTGTATCTGTTGTACGATATTTATTACCGAGTTTTTACGGCGTGCTGGCGTTGTTAGGCTTAATACAACGCACGTGCAGCCTTTTCACCTTGGTTTATAGTCGGATACAAAGTCGGGTCGTGGCAGAAGAGCAGCCTGGGAACACCGCTTCTGACGCTGTAGGTAATTATTCTGAAACCATTCGAAGGCAAAAAATAACGTTTATTTCACCCACCTCAAAAATAGATAGGTTGAGCGGAGGTGTGTGTGTGTGTGTGGGATTGTAACAAACTAGAACAAAATGTGTGAGGCGGGTGGGATTGTAACAAACTAGAACAAAATGTGTGGAGCGGCGGCATTGGAACTAACTAGATGTGAAAACTATGCCGAAGTTAGCTCTTTGTAGTTGTTTCAGACACTTTAAAGGTGATCCGGACCTGTCAGTGGACGTCAAACAGCCATTGAGAATACGAAGGAGGTTGGGGGGTGTGAGCAGACAATGCCCTCCAAACAAATGCGAGCTCCACTCATTGCCTCGAGACTAGAATCCCGGCGAGTTTATACATTTCCTGGCGGTGAGATTTCCCCTCGGAATCTGAGACTACAACCGCCGGAACCGTCGGTGAAAAATGTCGCGTGTACTAGCCCAGCCGAGGGCAACATACCGGGACCGCTGGTTTTCATCTAACCTCGACCATCCCTCCATCTGGGACTCTAATCCCCTGGGGCCTGGGCGTGCCCTCACCACGTGAATGCTGCGCGGTGCGATCTCTCTCCGCGCTGCTTCCTGTGGGCGAGGCCAGGGGTCACGGGGGGCGTGACCCGGATCACGCACGTGGGCTGACCCGTTCTCACGCTGCGGCTGGTTTCTCCTGCGGTGGAGGAGCCCCGCCTAAAGAAGCGGCTGGCTGGTCATCACTCAGTCTGAGTGAGAGAGCGTTAAGATGACTGGAACGCGTGGCGTTCAGAGCTGTCTCAGCAGACCATCCTAATAGCAGCCTGGATGTCGTGGATATGCATATTGGATATTGGATACTGGATATTTCAAAGCGGCTCTGGCGGCCGTCTTTCAGTTCAAGCGGGAGACTTACCTTTTGCTCGACTTACAAAGCATTTTTGTGTCCAGCATGACATCTTATTAATAATAACCCGAAAGACGTCCTTCAGATTTGTAAGTTTCCTATGTGTTGTACCTGGAATTAGCCATGTTTTATGCAAACCGCAATGCCTTCTTTCACTGCAGTAGGAAAGAAGCCTGAAGCAAGACGCTTAGACCGACATGCTCCTGTCCCCGGGTGAGGCCGTCTCCTGTCGTACCTCTGCCGGTACGTCCCAACAATGGCCTCGAGGGAAACTGCCGCTATCTATTTCCATTGTCTGCCGGCGCGCCGCCGCCCTGCTGTGCTCGAGCGAGCCACGCACGGCTGGGGGCCGTCGCCTCCTTTGTCAGTCGGCGCACTCGCAGGGCACGGTTTGTTTCTGTTCGACGACGGGAGCTGTTGGAGCCTTTCATGGGATGCATTGTCAGCATTTGGCTAGTGCGGTCCCCCAGTTTTAAATGTAATCTATCCGCCCGTCCACGTTGTCTTAAGTGGCGAAGCCACTCCAGCATAGTGAATCACTGTAAGAATGGCTCAATTTGAGTTCTATTTCATGCTCAATTTTAGGTACATTTAGTGAAATTTCAACTTGTGGCTTTGGAAAATATTATTTCCATCGGGTTCACCGTGGGCATAGCTTGCACTAACCCGCTAAGCAGCAAAGTGTTAAGGTAGTGTTATAAAGTTTGAACGTGCTTGGCGACTTGTTTCGTCCAGGATATTTTCTAACACCCTACATGAGCGGACCCAAGCTATGTTTGGGCGAACGACGTTGAGGAAAGCCGTATTCAATTTCTGACACCCTTGAAATAAATTATAAATGCCATGAGTAATGTTGCATGCTGTGTGATGGCGTTCAAGACTGGGTAAGCTGTTCATATCTCGAATAGCAACGGTGGCCGCAAAAATGCCGTCGTGGAGGTCTGAATGCCTTTTCGCTGTGCCTACCGTTCTGAGAACACATATACGGCTATAGACAGATAGCCCGAAGCGTCCATAACACTTCGTTGCCACGCAATCAAATCATAACGGGAGGAGGCCGTTGTATTGAGGGGAAAAATAAACGACCGTAATTGGGCCTATCGTGGCCGAATCGGACGCCATGACCGTTGGTCGGGTGCTGCTGGGCAAGGTCTGATGGCGGACGGTATAGGTGCTCCGTAATTAGGCCGATGAAGTAAGTTTGCACGTTGGTGTCATGAAGCAGACTGTTCCACTTGGCTGTGGGTCAGGGTCATGTGTGCCTGGAACCGTGCCGCCTGAATTGTGCAGGTTCCACTTTAACGCTTGCACTTGGGAAAAATATTAGCCTAGTTGGAGGCATCGTTATGGCGATCAATGTCAAGGAAAGAAAACGAATGTGTCGTACCTTAGTAAGTACCTGAATATGTCTGGTGGCAAAGCGGTGTCGCCGTTCGTCCGAGGGAGAAATAAGCTGTCTCTTCTGTGACTAAACTGTTTGCACCCATCCAATCGAACCTCTTCCTTAATTGCACGAGCATCGTTCTCCATTGGTCCGACCAAACGAAAAAGAGCTAAATATTTCCTTAGAATAACCAGCAAAACTAACCTCTCCATTAGAGAGTCGAGACGCGCGCAAAATCCCAGGAAAAGTGGAATACTATGCGCGACCGCAAACTCGGCTATTAATTGGCCTAATGGAATAATTATGATATGCGCGATGCGACAGTATTCCAAAGCGGGCATTAAGCCGCCTCACGCTGTTGTAATTCTGTCGGCATAATTACGCACATGGGTCAGCGGGCGAAACGCAGTCTGCCACGCCTCTTTCAAAACTGAATAATACACCAGCTCCGTGAAATGTACTGTTGCGGTGAAGCGACCGCCTGGGTGCGAAATTCTCACCGTAAAATTCTCGAATGCGTCGCAATAAAGCTGATCGATGTTGGAAGCAATGCATTTATTAAATCCGCCTCCCCTCATCTGCAAACATTTTTGGCCACCCAGTATAAGCAAGGTAAGGCCGAAGGTGTAAAGAGTGTGGGTGGTTACATCGTCGAAAGGGGCCAATCTCTCTCACTTTCGCTCTCCCCCAATCAACAACAGCAAGACCCTGTCCATGGCCGAGCCCAATCAGTAACCACCCCGAATCGGGGTTCTAAATAAGTGAACACGGCCATGTCCATTCCGCTCGAACCCCATGACCTCTCGCGGACCTCCCCTCCTGACCTCTTGCTGACCGCCTCCACCGGCATGTGTTGATGAGCTGACTGGCT